TCTATGACACACAAATCTGTGATGGAAAGAACGTCTCATTTGGTCTTAGCGCACTGGGCTCTGAGAACAAAACCGAAACGTTTGATAGTTTACGCAGGGCAAGTATGAGGACGAAGGGCGACGCAGAGCTCACTATGAACACATGGCTTCACTTCGGCGAACCGGAAAGCCTCACGGATGACCTAGAGACACAAAATTGGAAGGCGTTGGAGGACTGGGAGATGCCAAAGGTTAAGCTGATGCTACTTGATGTTCACGTTGGAGGACGGAAATACGAGGTGTACACATAGCTGCCTTTGACTTCTTCAATAGATCCGAGGCTGGAGCCAGGGGTGGATGGTCAATGATATTTTGTGGCGCGTGCTGACATACTTCTCCCTCCTGAAGCTGGCGGATGAGAACATTTGCAGGTCTTTCTTTGGACTGAATTCTCCACTTGGCGCCTTCCGAAGAGCTTCGTTATTATCATAACAAGGAAAACGCGTAGCAGCGAGCGGAAAACTAGTGATCGGACATTGCAATGGATTTCCATAACACGCGTTCTGCAGTCCTATTTTGAACATATTCTTTGAGATGCCATTAGAGTCTGCGATGCAGATAGTCAAATTCGTGCCCTTATGTTCAACCTGGACTTGTCCCCACCGACATCCGGCGCGCTCGGCGAGGCCAATTGCCTCTCCGGCGCACCACGAACGAATAAAGGTTTAAGGGTAAATATTGGGAGTTACTGATCATAAGACGTTCAATGGAGGAATTACTTGCATTGTCACTCCCAAAGTGAGGAACGGCGCCTGTCATCATGAACAGAGCACCGCCTCGTAATGTAACTACCCCACTGCCTTGCCTCTTCACGCAGGACCCTACTCTATCCATACGAGCCGACATTTAATACTTAGTGCCCCATTCTTCATTCAGACCCCTCAACCAGTCTCCACGCTCCACTCCCCACTCTCGAAGTCAAAAACACCTCCTCCATCCCCAGTCCCCCTTCACTTTCCCTTCCCATACATCTCCTCCCAATTCTCCTGCTCATTCTCCCTCAACGCCTCCAGAATCCTCTTTCCCTCCTCGTAATCCTCATCATCGTGCATCTTCAGACCGTACGAGAGCATGAAGTAGTACATGTTCGTCCAGCCTGCATCTTTGAGGTACTTGTAGTCGGATTTGAGGGCTGGATTGGGAGGTATGGCGTCTGCGGTGGTCGCGGTGCTGTCTCCAGTGGGGTTTAAGACGTTCTTCGTGCCCGAGTCAGAGCTTGAAGGCTTGGTGGAAGAGTCGGCGGTTTGTTTGGATGACATTGTGGCTTTTGAGGGAGGTGGGAAGTTGTTCAAGGGGATTTTATGTGATGTGGGTTAGACAAGTACTTATTGTCTGGTATGTTTTGCTGAGCTTCAGATTATGATGGTGAATCGAGCTTTCGATGAATGCGAATCAAAGACAAGGGAGCATCGTGAACATGGCTTTATATAGCAGTAGAAGGAAAGAGCCTCCGGTCTAATTGGATGAGGAAAGCAAGCGCGAAGAGTAAACACGCTAGCGGGGTCGACAAGCGACATTCGGCTTTTTTAGGTCAACACAAAGCAAAAGATTCAACAGACAGATATCTATGGAGGAGCCAAGAAACATCACTCCAATTGCAGCAGGTAGACGAAAGCGGAATATAAGGCGAAGATGAAAGTAGGAGGATCAACTGAATTGCTGTTCTCTAGCATTCAATAAGCGAGAAGCACTCCAGAAAGTACGCATTCTCTTCGCTGTGTACGCATGATCGAACACAGCAAGCACCCACCAAGATAACTTTTTTCTGCAGCAGAAGAAATATTGATGAAATTACTCATGTTTCATATGTACAATCAATTTTCATTACTCCCATCTCATCAAATCATAACATCATCATCATGAACAGACATTCAACCTCGCGACACTCGGGTCATGATCACTCTTCTGATCCGCCAACGAGCTCCAAGTATTAACATGGACATGCTCAAACGCTGCTCCCAGGATCAACGCTGGGCTCACAAACATATGATCCAACTCCTGGCAATTCATATCATACATGTACGTGTATCTCTCGGTCGAAGGGGTGAGAGTAACATCATCGAGGTCCAGCAATTTCGAGACAGATTTGAATGTCTCGAGAGGCTCGACGAATGTAAATTCGTTGAAATCACCTGCGACGATGATCTTGGCGAAGGGGTTCTGCTTGAGGATTTGAGCTACGAAGGTCTGTGTTTTGTCAGTTCACTGTCAAAAGCCAAATAAATAAGAATCGAAAATACTCACGGCTGTGATATTTCCCTGGGCAGATCGATCCTCAATACCTCCGTTGACAGGAGGACGAGCATCTCCCACCAGAGGACTTCCGCCGCCTTTGCTACCTTGGTGCAAGTTCACAGTGAAGAACTTGTTCTTTCCGTCCAAAGTCTCCCATGCAGCAGCAAGCGGCTTACGGCTCGCAGTAAAAGCTGGGTTGGAAGGCTCGATACGGCCTGGGTTGAACTTGAGTTCTGGGCCGGGGAGAACCTTGTTCGCATCGAGTGGTCCACCAAGATTGGGCTTGCGAAGGCGCAGGATATCAGGTTTGTACAGGTAAGCTTGACGGATGTTTCCGCCTGGCTGGCCGCCATCCAAGAGGTTGACGGGGAGGACTTCGGTGAATGCGTATTTGATGCCAGAGATGTTGTAGATTGCGTTTACAAGAGTCGTGAGGGTCAAGTTTGCAGTGACAACTGGTATACTTTAGCTTGAGGATTGATCGGGAGAGAGGGGGAAATTTACCTCCATTGTTAGTCGCTCCATTGTCATCCTGGATCTCCTGGATGAACATGAGATCTGGAGTCTTCAAGTAGGTAGCGATATGATCAGCAATTGATGGAAGCCATGCTGATTTGGGAGTCAAGTTCTCGACATTGTAGTCGCCAATCGTGAGTTGCTTGCAAGTTCCGGAAGAGGTTAGAGTGGTAGGTGGAGGGGTAGCTGGCGAAGCGGATGCTACGACCTTGACAGCAGTTTGAGGATAGATACTGTAGTATCCGAAAGCATAGGTGAGAACACCAGTTATTTCTTCCAAAGAATCACCAAGCTTGACAGTGGTGGGATTCTTGGTTCCATCAAGAGGATCGAGCACTGCCAGTGTCTCTGGGTTGGAATCTGGTGACTTTCATCAGGAACGGGAATGACTCCAAGACTTTTACGGATGCCATACCTCTGTCTCTCATGGTCAACCCACCGCGCTTGTTCGTGCCTGTCTTTCTCCATGATCCGGCGACCCACACATTTGCATATCGATTAGACTTTGTGATCGCAACTGGGAGCTTCACAGTAACGAGTTCCCCGCTCAAACTTTCCCAAAAGTCCATTCCAAAAAGGAGTGGCTGCAGAGTTGGGTTTGCAGTAGAAACGAGACTCTGATTGTTTGGGAGGGAGTAGACGTCCCAGTTGTCAAGAGATGAGAATTGTTCCGTCGGGGGGTACACGAGCAGATCCTGGCCAATGACCACGGGCTTGACCGCGTTGCCGCTTGACAGAACTTTGACATTGTTTGGGAAAGTCAATTCCGTCAGATAAAGGTACGTCGAAGTCGACCGATACTCAGCGACAGTTGCGTCGACAGTGATGATGTCTCCGACTGTGACGTTCTTGAGAGCTTGACTGCCGTAGACATAGATGGAATTTGATGATCTGATGTCGAGGTTGAGTGTCGTGTCTCGAAGGAAGAATCCGTATGGTCCCTTGGCAGTCACCAATCCCTTGATGCCAGTCAATGTTTGACCCGCATAAGGCGAGAGATATTTGATGCCGTTAATTTGGTTGATGGTGACGGCATTTGCTACGGCGCTGAAAGCCAAGGCGACGGTAGCGAGAGAGAACCTCATGATCGCTAACTTCAGGGACTGATGGCTGAGTGACACCTTCCAAAAAGAAGGGAGCCAAAACTCTTTATATCCTCATTATGCAGCCCAGCCTCGAATCCATCGTTATCTTTCACGACCGAGTAAGGCAACAGCCTCCGACCACGTTTTTGGCCGCTTCGGACATGCCTCTACAAGCTGAACGGCTGAGGGAGCCGACCAACTTGGCGATGGGTTCCTGCAGGTTGTTTGGCGCAATGTCGATATGATATCTTGGCGGACTACCCACTAAGGGAAGGTGAACAAGAATTGACAGGCATTAGGTGGGGTATTAAGCTTACCTTCTCCAGGCCAATTGAATCGGCATGCGGACGACTCCGAGAAGTGCCATGGAGATGGGATGGTTTTAGTACGGAGATTGCCACTTCCTGGGAGGATAGAAGAGGCTGGTGAGGATTTGATTGGTGTCGGTAGGAAAGCCAAGAAGAGAAGCTGTATATTTGTTCGGCCCCCTTTCTGTTCCTGGAATTTCATGGAGATCTGGAGATAACAGGAATAGACATGGAATGGAGATCATGATGACTTAATATCGCTGTAATTGATCATCGGAAGCGAGTTGAGTTACAATATAATTTCTTCTCGATATTCTTATTGTGAAGAAGGATTAGAGGCAGTCTAGCAAATTTGAAGCTGGATTACTCGTAGATTTCATCCAAGCACGCCTGGTAGGTGGATAAAATCGTGTCCGTTTAGAGTTTTGTCGACTGTTTGATCCAATCAATAGAGTTGTTCGGAACCGAGGTCCTCCAGCCACCCCTATTCTTAGCGAGCCCAGAGCCACATGAAAACAGAAACTGGACATCCCATCCCTCATCACGCAACTGAGACTTTCGATGATATCGATTTGTTTGATAAGAAGATATGATCCCTCTGAATTTGCAATCCATTTCAAGCAATGTCCCGGAGTGAATCTGGAACTTCTGGTTTGCTCGCTTGAAATCTCGAGAAACCTCCTTACTGCATGAGCTCCGTTGACGGCCACCGCGCCCCGCAGCGGGGTACTTTGGGAAGATCCTTTTCTTTGAAGACCTCTATTCCTGATAGGTACACAGATAAGCAAAACCTGTCCGTCGAATCACAATTCGAGTTGTCTTCCTGGCTTAGTTGGTTAAAGCGTCGGTCTCATACTACTCTGTATGATTTACTTGCTCAAACAAGTGAAAAAAAGCACGTGATCCGAAGGTCGTGAGTTCGACTCTCACGGAGGACAGCAAGTTTTCTTTTTGCTTTTGTTTGCGTTGCGTTAACGTTGTAGAGATTTCAGACTTGATTCCGTGAAATCGGGGCTTGTCGGGGCGTCTTTGGAGCCGATAAGCCCTTAGCGAACACCCCCCGAACGGCCGAAACCAAAAGGCGATATTGTGTCTTTTCCTTAGTCAAAGGCGCCCCTCTTGCCAGGATTTTTGCGGCTTTGAAACTCTTGTGCTGTGTTCCTAAATTTTTGCAGATTTTGCCTTCCTGAGCGAGGCGAGGGGCTCCCATCCAAAAATTACCGTTGATGTTAAAGCACATGCAAACAAATATAGAAAGTCTCTGCGCCTTATTTACCCTCCCTGGCCGAACGACTTAATGAAACGATGTGATTTCATCTCAACAATCCGTTCAGTGCTGTTCAGCAATCCGTTGCGCTGACAGCAGCCGGTCAAGTCCTCTTAACTGAGAGTGATGCTCTACTTGCTCCTCGCAGTGTCCAAAAGAGTTTGGTGAAGTAGAGATTGAAGTTACATCACAGTGTTCCGACGATTCTAAAAGGCCCAAGACCTTCTAGGGCTGAACCATTTATCCCGCAAGCCTTTCACAAAGGTCCCATCTCTGACCAATACATCCTGTCTCAAAGGCCGACCAGTTTGGCCAAGCTCCTCCCCAAAAACTGCTTTCCTATTCTCCAGTATCCTAATCATAACAAAGTTCCTGAAATGACTCTTCGTGCTTCCAACATCATCCCAAGCAATCTCCTTCCCATTCTCGTCACCACAAATTCTCAGTTCCGGCCTCTCCCCCAAGTCGAAGCTCCTCTGTCCACTGCTTTGCCCAACAACGATTATTTCTCTTACATTCCTGAATTTCTTCTCATCCCACGCATTCACCGCCATCGCCCAACTTTTCTCACTTCTAATCGCCAGCCGTTTGATCTTTTCCAAGTCATTCATCCGCACAGAGCGCACCATACTATTACCGCCGGTCCTAACCCACGACAGAAGATATCGGACATCTCTTCCCCAGGTATGTGATGTCGTTTTCGAAACTGACATATACTCTTGCATCACGTTCTTGCGTTCCGAATGCCAGTTAATACCTCTTTAGCCCCTCGGCACGGGATTCTCGACAGGCATGCAGAACGGCGGGAGTTTCTGCGATGCTCCAAATTCCTCCATGTTCGTTCTCATCCAAAGATACATCATGCTTCCGACCAGTGCCATTCACCGTATATCGAAGCTCAATTACTCGTGGTTCATTTGCCGCAAACGACCAAATCAATTGTCGAATCTCCAGAGGAAGGTCTCGGAATCGACCGAATGCTGGTGGAGGGCCGAGATGGAGTACGCGTAAGCAACTACGGCGTATAACTTGAAGAGTATGGGTAACTGTATTGATACTATCGCAAGAGCGATCGTAGGACTCGCGGATCTTGTTTAGTGTCCAGTGGTAGAGATCTCGTGAGCCGGCTAGGAGAAAGAAGCCGAGAAGGTGCCACCATCTGATACTATCTGGTAGCCCCATGATACGTCTTTAGTGCTAGTATGGAGCTGAGGTTCGAGTTTGACGTAGGCTTTGATGGTCGTGAAGGACGGGTGATGTTGAGATAGTGGCGGGGTACAGAACATGGAAGCCTAAATGCCGACGTCTCACATACGTAATTGCCACGCCTGTGATTTATTCCCGTATGATTAGGTCTTATCATTTCATACATTCAGTTTGAACATCACGAATCATAAGAAGCTTGGGAGATAGGCAGCATATGTGCATTCCACCGAAAGATCAAACCTGGAAGGAAACCGCGTGGGACGGGGCGCCTTATTCACCACTTCCTATGCATTGGTCAAATAACGCTTTTGTGTCGGATATTTCGCTTCTGATTGGGCCTTGAGTCTTAAGAATTGATTAGGCGACAGTTCAAGAATCGCAGCAGCGAAAGCTGGCATTTCTTATAAGCTTCTCTCACATGGACTCTACCAGTTCCGGAAAAACAACTTGATGTGATGATGCGTGACCATATCTGGCTCACAATCGGAAAGACTAGATACACATGTTCAATTATGAGAAGTAAGAAATCTATGATCTACATCAACTCAATGCCATGCCGAATTATGCACCGGTGCAACATCACATATCGAGGTATGTTTTTCTTTCCTTTCAGACTTTCCACTTATAAACCTCATCGCCATAGAACCCTTGCAAGTGGTTCCAAGCCTTCATGTCCTCCTCCGTGAACCTCATGTCCCTCAACTTCTCCTCCGCGCCGCCCTGAAGCCACTTCACATCCCTCAACAGCACCTTCGCATCCGACCATTCACTCTCCTCAACACTCGGTCTTCTCCCCACCATACCCTGAAACCAGTCCATATCATCGAATCTCGAATACAATCCACCCATCATCATAACCCACAATCGCATCGAGCAAGGATAGCTGAATCCGTTAGGATTGGAGAGCAATTTCTCCATCGTCCGTTTGTGCTGCATGACGAGTTCCTCTTCGGACGTTGGGAGTGGCAATGCTTCGGCGGGAGTGACGAGTATGGTGTGTAGATATATCATAGATGCGGTTGGCCATGCTCGATCACTTGAAGACGATGCTGGGAACTCCGGTGAGGGGAAGGACGCTAGGTACACTTCGATGCTGTTCCGCAGTGTCGGGTAATCTTCCTGGTCCGAAAGAGGATTACCGGCGCGTTGAGCGGTGTTTGTAAGCCAGACGTAGACAGATGCGACTCCATGGCCAAGGATGGTGCCAGGTACTGTGCTTTTGGCTACTGAGCGGGAGAGATCGGTGAGTCGACCGGCGTGGCCCGTTTCCCCGGTACTGTCAACACTGACTTCGGGCTCGTCGGGGTCTACTTGCGGACTGTCCGACTTGAGCTTGATGGTTCTTTCATTCTTCTAGATGAAGTTGGAATCCACTTACTGTACGAGGAGGTGTTGCACCAGTCGATGAATCTCTGTCCCCGAGTCTGTATACCGTAGCTGCAGCAGCTGCTTAAGTCCGTGCCGATGGACAGCTGCGATTTGATTGGAGCCATAGGTTTCCTGTGAGACATATCAGTGGTTGTAGAAATCATTTGCTCGTGTGACTTTACCTCAAAAAGAATGAGAGAAGAAAGGGCTCCAATGATGTGGTCTTTTGTCCGCTCGTTGGGATTATCGAGGCTTGAATTGATGATCCGCATCGTCTCACCTTGGCCTGTTAACACTTTATCATCGCTTGGATGCTGATAACTGGTGTATACCTTTATGATGAAGTATGTCTCTGTCAAATTCCTTGTCTCCGGAAAGAAAGCGAAGATGTGATGCCATGTACAGCATAGTGGCGTGAAGAAGTGCTGGGGTTGAGGTTTGGAAAGACCACAAACTCTTGCTGTGCACCCAGACCGTGCCAACGACCTCATTATCTCCGATGAAGTTAGCAAGAGTTCCCCCTCGTCTATGTGAGCTATCACTCACAGTGAGATAGAAGTAGTGAAATGCCGGGGTTGTGGAGAAGCTCATGCGTGTCAAATGGATCTTGGCGCCACGAGCTTCCGAGAAGGGTGTTGCCGATATTCAGCACTTCAGGGTCACTTGCAGCACGTCTCAAGACCTGAGCAGCATATGAATTTTGTTTGGTCACAGCAATAGCTCGATATGTAGGACACTCAGGTCCTCTAGAAGAGGCTTTCTGCGCCAAATCGATCCTGCTACCATCATCGGTCATACCCTGGTACCCAAAGACCGTGCTACTACTCCATTCGGAAGCCGTGTCGAATTCAAATGGTGGCTGATCTCGCCATCCTGCTGCTGGACCTGAGAATTGACGATCATCCGCATTACTGAATGGGCCGGCTGCCGTTCCTAGTGCTGTATTTGAACGTCATTTCTTGTAAGGAAAAGTCACGACAAAAGCAAGTTGAAGGAGACATATGGGCATGGGTACTGGAAGTGTGTTCTTACCTGATGGCGTGGTTAATGGTCCTAGTGCAGCCTCTGAGTAGGATACCGAGCGACCATGTTGGAATCCTGTTCCCAAACCACTACTTTCGGTCTTCGCCCTAGACAATTTCGGTCTCTCAGCAGCCAATGAAGCAGGAGTCAGCTTCCCTAAGATCGACCTCGGCGTCTCCAAGTTGCTTTTCAAAGCAGCATTGAGCTGTTTCCGCTTCAGATCAGTATCACGTCTAGCATGTGATCGAATGACTCTTCTAAGTTTTGTGTTAGAAGGCTGCCGTAATTCTTGTTCGTCGATGAAGCACAACGGTAGACCTTTCAGCACAGGCATTGGCGGTGGTGCCGATGCGGATGACTGCCCTGCTTCTTGGGCGTCTGTATGTACGGGTCTCGCTGTCAATTCATATGCTTTGAAGTGAGCGGCGCAGAAATGCTCGTATGTTACTCTCGGGCCTTGAGTTCCGTGGTCGGGAGTTGAGGTCTCATTGCTGAATGCTAACGGCACTCGTGCTGCCCCGGAGTTTGGGGCTACCATAGCTGCTGCTGACTGGTGTTGACGATGTCCCTTCTGGGCTGAGAAATTAAGCTTGTTTACACGATCCAATAATCTTGGCTAGGTCGATCGGCTTGACTTCCATGATTAGATACTGCTCCGAGGAGAGGAAACGTGCGATATGGGGGAGCAACTAACCGGAAGTATGCAGGTGTTACTGGTAGTCTTGATCAGTGAACGGTAATGCCGGCACGCGAGCTATGTAGGTCTTGTGTAGCCTTAGGATATCCGCAACATATAAAGGCAGGCCTCCTCTCAGCTTTCCCTGGATTGGTTTTCGCAAGCTTTTCAATTCTGTTGGTCGCTGGTACGTTTTTGTTTTCTTCACCTGGTACTGGTGCTCAGACAAGTACGAGACATGCTCATATAAGGACTTAAAGGACATCTTGCAGCAGAAGGATTCGGCCGCCAAGTACCCCAAAAGATTTATCACCCTCTATGGCCCCTCTGCAGAGAATCTAGAGCTCAAGTCAACAACACAATGGATGTACCTTCGGGCAATGCTACTCCTCCGAGCT